TGCTATGGCTCTCTTTAACACCTAGGATATTAGCACACGAATTTAGTTATTTTGAAAAAAAAACACAGAGGTCTTTCCAAAACTCTGCCTAAAAACTTGTTCAGAAAACTGGCCTAACCATCTGAAAATCTAGTTCTAATTCTAGTTCTATACCTGTATTATTTGCTGCTACAAACTGAGCCTAAATCTCTCTTTTGCAAATGGAATATATATTACCTGTCCTTCCTTAGAAGACATGCTGTGGAAGGGGGAAGGGCAAGAACACATTGGGGGAAAATGTTGTTTAATTATGAAGATAAAAAAATTTTTAGGCCGTCTACACTTAGAAGAATAGATGAGCTGAAGTGGATGGGGCAGTACTGAAATCCCAGCTATAAAAGGAGAATTGGAGGCTCAAGATCAGCCTGGCCAATTTACCAAGATCCTATCTCAAAATAAGATTAAAATAACTGCTGGGAATGAAGCTCAGTGGTAGAGTGATGTCTAGCATGCCTGAGGCCCTGGGTTCAATCCCTAGTACAACAACAACAACAATAACAAAAATAGCAAAAACAAACAAAACATAAAAATATACATGCAGATAATTGAAATTCTTTAATATTTCAATTTAAATGTATTTCTAAAAATACCGTATTTGAGATATATGTGAAATTCAGGTCAGCACAAATCTCATTTAATAACAATTTTTTGAATTTGTGGTTGATTAGTATTGACATAAATGTTGTAATTTTAAAACATATAAGTTAAATCTAATTTTTTCATTGTCTAGGAAGTTAAGTACATCTTTCTGTATACAGCCATCACTTTTAACCAGTTACAAATGATATATTTACTCATTCTACATGTTGCTTTCTAATATATTTGATTCAGAGAACCAGTACTCATATAAACTGCTACTTAATCTGGAAGAGAGAGATACAGGATGGTTAATGGTAGAGGTACAGCTGGACAGAAAATAACTACTAATTTTCTATAGCACAGTAGGATAACAATGGTTGATAATAATTGACTATTTGAAAATAGCTAGTAGAGAGGATTTTGAGTATTTCCAACACAATAAAAATCATATGCTTTTGGTGACAGATATGCCAATAATCCTGACATGATTATCACACATTGTATATATATGTATTGAAATGTTACACTGTATTCAAGAAATATGTGTGTGGAGCCAGCCATGGGCTGTGGGTGTGTGCTGTGAGCATTTTGAGCACACAAAGAGGACTGGACTGATGTTGCTATTTAGTCTGGGCTGTACACATGTGTCCCTTTCGCTTGCTCTGCCTTTGATCATCACACAGCACGAGATGGGTGTGACCTTCCAAGATGTCAGTCAATCTGCTGACAGCAAGGCATCCTGAAGCTAGACACAACCCCCTGAAACCTGAAACCTGACCCCTTGCCTCATTTAAATGGCTCTTCCCAACAAAACTCCGGTTCAAGAGTTGCTCCTTCTCTTTCTTGCCTGCCTTGCCTGCCTTGCCTCCCTTGTGAGAGCTGTGGCTGAGAAGCAGTCACTGAACCCAAAGAAAAAGTACTTTCCGTGTCTGTGTCTTTATTTAGTCCCCAAATTCACTTGTAGTGACCCTGACCAGTTTAGTCGTATGTCACGACAAATATGTACAATTACTATGTTTCAATTAAAAAATAAAAAATAAATTTAAAAATAATTCAAAGTGGGTATAGTGATGCACAACTGTAATCTCAGTAGTTACAGAGGATGAAGCAAGAGGTCACACATTCAAAGCCAGTCTCAGCAACTCAGTGAAGCCCTAAGCATTTTAGCAAACTCTGTCTCAAAATAAAAAATAAAAAGAAGTCAGGATGTAGCTCAGTGGTAAAGTGCCCCTGAGTTTAATTCCCAGTACTGAAAAAGTAAAATAATTCAAGCTGGGCTTGTTGGTGCAGGCCAGCTACTCAGGAGGTTTAGGAATGAGGATTGTAAACTCAAGGCAGCCTGGGCAATTTAGCAAAACCTTGTCTCAAAATTAAAAGGAATAAAAAAGGGCTGAGGATGTGCTGGCTAGTAAATCATTTGCCTAGTATGCATGAGGCCTTGTACTACCAAAATTTAAGATAAATAAATAATAAATATCATTGTCTGCACTAACAAAAAGGAACACTTAGTTATAACTTACAATGCATCAGTCACTGATTATCAATTTAAGTCCAACCCTCATCATTTGCTGATTCTATATTTGTGTATATGCTTATTAGTTAAAACTTATTTGCAACTCCCAAATCAACACTTCAGTACTTTCATGGTCACAGACATACCCAAATTCAGTAGGAGGAATGCATTCCAAGTTGATATTAATCAGGGAAAGCTCTACCTTCGTTTTAGCTCTTACACTATGAGCATGTTTTCTTTTTTTGTGGCCTATTTAGTGCCCATTTTTTCATATATTTTCAGTTTTTATTGATGATTTGATTGTTTAAAATGGTTCCCAAGGGCTGGGTGTGTATCTCAGTGGTAGAGCAATAGTTATAGCTATGAGAGGTTCTCTGTTTCTTCTCCAGCACTGTAAAAATAAATAAAATAAGATGACTTGCAAGCCTAGAGTTTAATCAAGTGTAACTAGTACAAGAGAATGTTATGAGTTTAAAAAAGAAAATAAGTCTGTTTCATAAGTCTGGTTCAGGTAAGGGTTATAGTGTTGTGACTCTCAAGTTCAGTGTTAATCAATCAACAATTTATACTAAATAATGTGTCTTTAAACAGAAACACTGATCAAGCAAGGTTTCATAATTGATCTGTTGATAAAACTATTGTGAATAAAGGCTTACAGTAACATAGCCTTGATTTACTCCTGGGATCAATGATTCTGTGATAGCTGAGTATTTGAGGTAACTTTATAGAATCTAACTGCTGCAAATGACAAGAATCAACTATAGCCTGGTGCAGTGGCACATACCTATAATTCTAGCTACTCTGGAGGCCAACAGGAAATCACCACCAGCCTCAGCAACTTAGCAAGGCCCTAAGAAATTTAAAAAGCCCCTCTGAATTCAATCCCTAGTACCAAAAAACCCAACCAAACTAACAGCAACAACAACAAAAACAAAAAAAACCTGTAATTTTATGTCTTTCTAAGCTAATTATTCTAAAAATATTCTAATGGATGAGTAGAGAAAATAGTACGTAATCAGTCTCCACTCATATCACCCAGCTTCAGTAATTCTTGACCAATCTTATATCTTTTTAATTTCCCAACCCTTTCTCCCTTTGGGATTTGACACAAAGTTACTTTCCTTGTAAAGAGGGTAAAAGGCAACAGAACAATAGAAAAATAAGCCATTATGTTCTGCTGGCTGCTGGAAGTCCCTCTAGCAGGCAAAGAATAAGAAGGCCAGACTGAGAAGTGTTTGCAGATGTCCTGTGGCTTGCTTTGAATTATGATGCATACCTAGGCTCCTTATGTCACATTTCCTGTGGCCTTTGGTGTCTAGGCTGTCACCTACAACCTGGAATAGTAATCAAGGAACAGATCCCCCACTGTGGAGGTGGAAAACCCATCTCAGAGCCTCAGGAGGATTGCAGGCTGGAAGAGCTTCGGGCAAGAGCTTCGGGCAAGGCACTTAAAGACCAGCTGGAATTTGCCCCTAAAGCTTACTTGAACTGAAACTGCCCAGAAAAGAGGACACAGGGCCCTATGGTCCTGCCGTGGGCCTTGACTAAAACTGCCATCATATAGTCCCAGTCTCCAAACCACATGGGATTTGCTCTGCTGCTCATTCTGTCCTTTCTAACACCCAACACATGCATGCCCAGGATGCCTCTTAATAGTCAGATAGCACGGCAGCTGAGAGCTAGTGAAGAGAAAGCCCATGTATGTTGTATGGAGGTCATAATGCTCCAGCTCACAGGGCTTATAGGCTCACTACCAGGAAGAACGTTATGACATGAATATCAGCTACTATTTTTCTTGGGAAGGTGGTTTGGCCTCATGTGGGATTGACTAGGATTTGGGTGTTGTTTTTAGGAAGGATTCCTACATGTGTTGTTATAGTTTGCACTGGGAAGAATTTAAAAATTCACCTGGCTCCCTCTACTACCCCACCTTCCTGCCCCATCCTGTCTCCCCCAGCAAAAAACTATCCTATCCTAGCAGCTCAGGAATGGGATTCTTCAGGGAAGGAACGCATTTTTTTTTTTTTTTTTTTGCTCTTGAAGCTTAGGTCATTCACTTTGGGGCAGGAAGGAGTATGTGCCTGGTGGATTTCCTTGAAAATAATCCTTATCTTCTACACCCATCCCCCCCACCACCTTCTAGTTTAAAACTTGGTTAAAGTAGCACCTGAAAACCATTAAGAAAGAATAAAGAATATTAACCCATTAGTTAACATCAGGTTACTGCAAATGACTTTTTCTCTGTAAGGATGAAAGCAGAGAGAACTTCATTTTCATGCCAATTGAAATTATACTGTCTGGAAAATTTGGCTGTCATCTCTAATCCTGATTTCTGGGAAGTTCAGATAAACAGTTTAGTTTCAGCTTGGTGATGTGGAACTTAAGCATGAGTGACTCCATTTTTATTTTAGTCTCTGTGCAGAAGCTCGGTCCAAAACAATGGCCTCCTATAATTTTTACTGAAAATCATGAAAGAGAAGGAAAGACCAAGAGACTGTCATAAATTGGAAGAGAAAAGACATGGTGCTGAAATGTAACATTGGTATTCTGGAACAGAAAAAGAACATTAGTGGAAAAACTATGGAAATCCAAATAGTCTGCGGTTAGTAGTATAGTACCAATGGCAATTTCCTTGCTTTGATAAATGTACCAAGATTGTGTAAGATGTGAACATTTGGGGAAGCTGAGTGAAGGATATACAGGAACTCTCTTGTACTATTTTTATAACACTTCTGTAAATTTAAAAATCACTTAAGAATAAAAATTATTTTTTTAAAAAAATATGTCCTTTGGTTTTAAATCTATAGAGTTTCACATTCAGCAAATATGGCCTGGGTCCTGATAATCTACGTTTGTAATGAGTTCTTACCAGAAGCTGTCACTGGCTCCAGGGAAGCACTTTTGAGAAGTACTGCTTGAAGTAAACCTAAGGTCATGGGAAGTTTTCTGCTGTACTTTCCACCTCATTGTAAAATTCCCTGCAGTAAACATAAGAATGAATGAGAAAGATCCTAACCTGTTTCGAAACAGGTTTCTTTCTTTAGTTTTGGTTTTACTCAATATTCTCCTCAACTATTATAAGCATAATATAATACTTGAGGATATCTCCTTTAGAAAATGCTTCAATCGGTGGGGCAGTGATGCACGCCTGTAATCCCAGAATTTTGGGAGGAAGAGGCAGGAGGATCGTGAGTTCAATGCCAGTCTCAGCAAAAGCAAAATACTAATAAGCAACTAAGTGAGAACCCTCTCTAAATAAAATACGAAAAAGGGACTGGGGCTGGAAATATGGCTTAGTGGTCGAGTGCCCCTGAGTTCAATCCCCAGTACCAAAAAAAAAAAAAAAAAAAAAAGAAAAAGAAAAGAAAAATAGAAAATTCAATCCTCAAATTAAGTTTTTAATTCTTGGTTCACTTACTATGTTATTTAAAGATAATAAAAAACCCTTAAACATTCTGGCTTAAATACTGACAACATATAAGGGAAACTTTAAACACTTTTAGGTAACAAAGTGAATCTGGGAAATTACTATGCACATAGTTCAGTAATAAATAGTTATCTTTCAACATCTATTCTCCCTGTCTTCTTACTAAGGTAAATGGTAAACTTGATTTTTGGCTGAGTACCCGGTCACTCAGTACATGTTTTTCAGCTTTCTGACAGGTAAGTGTTTTCAGAAAAGTATGTTTTAGTAGTAAGAGGGAGGCAGAAGTGAGAAATACAAAAATTACAAAATGTCCTTAAAAGAAAAACATGTGCTGCTGGTACTAGTGGTAGATGCCTATAATCCCAGCTACTTGGAAGGCTGAGGCAGAAGAATTGCAAGTTTGAGTCTAGCCTCAGCAACTCAGAACCTGTCTCAAAATAAAAATAAAAAGGGCTCAGGGATATAGCCCAGTGGTAAAGTGTTCCAGGGTTCAATCCTCAGTATGACAATAAACAAACAAACACATAAATAAAATTTTAAAAAGAAAACAATAAAGGTGTGCTCTTTTTATTTTTTACCTTGATTCCTGCTGATGGGAATGTTACATGACTCTAAGTGGAGCTGCTTCTACTTGGACCATTGATGGAATTACGGTTACCGGGATGGCATAACAGGCTAGAAGTAAACCAAGGGAAAATCTGGATAAACCCTCTAGCTTCACTTGATTTAATTGTTTTTATCCCGATTTTAAAGGTCACAGTTAGCAATACACTCTCATTAGTCTTGCTATAAATGGAGGAAACAACTTTTTTTTTTTTTTCTTTGACACAGGGACCTTTTAAAATTGCTCAGGCTGGTCTTGAACTCACAATCCTTCTACCTCTTGAGTTGCTGGGATTATACACCTGTACCATCAAGCCAGGCAGTTATATACAGATAGTAACAGTTAACTAAATTGTTTTTCAGGAATGTGGAAGGAGCTCAAAGCATTTGAATTCACCAAGCCTTCACTTGGGCCTGCACAAGTATCTGATGGGTTATGTCAGGGGGCCAGATGCCACCCCCCAAGCATTGCCTCCTACAAAGAGCCATGAGGTTTGAGCAATTATGCACAAACCACAGATTACTTCATTTTTCCTTACCTCCAATCACCTTTTCCTATGTCTTAGCCAACCCTGCTTCTTTATCACATAAATGCTGCCAAACCCTATTCTCAGGGAGGTGGATTTGAGATTTGCTCTCCCATTTCCATGTACTTTACTGCCTTCTAAATCAATTCTTTTTTGTTTGCAAAATTTGCTTTGGTGATTGGCATATTGCAAAACAGGCTTGGTTTGGTAAAAGAAGCAACCCAGATATCTGACACTATAGCAGCCTAGTATTTGCATTCAAAAGCATTTCAAAGCCTCCAAGCTGCTTTTGGATGAGAAAAACAAACTTTCATTTTTCTTTCTGTGGCGCTGGGATTGAATCCAGGGACACTTTACCACTGAGCTATATCCCTAGTCCTTTTTTTTTTTTTTTTTTAAGACAAAGTCTTATTAAATTGCCCAGGCTAGCCTCAAACTTCCTGATCTTCCTGCCTCAGCCTCCCTAGTTGCTAGGATTACAAGTGTGTACTGTTTCATTTCTATCTTAATTTCCTGTTATTTTGGACTTGATGCCACTTGAGGCTTAACCCAATTTGAACTGACAAAAGTAGTCATCCAAAAGTTTTAGTTGTACAGAAAGGGATGTCACTGGATAAGGGCAGCAAAACTTAGGGCAAAGGGGGGCTTAAATCCAGTCTTCCCTCTTTTTTTCCCAAGCTTTACACTATGCTGTATTGACCACAAGTTTGCTATAGCTATGGCTCTGTAGGAGAGCACATTTTTTTTCCCACAATCTAGATTTTAGAGCAGCATTTCTCAAAACATCTTCTACAGACTCTTGGAGGCATGGGACATGGCTTTAGTTAGTTTCTATCAAGGAATTTTGTACTTTGAAAAGTTAGGAGGCTGGGAAAATTGCTGTCATAGGAGGATTGCCTAACATGCAGTAGGCCCCTGGGTTTGAGTATTAAGTTAAATAGATTTATATTTTAGGTTAGTTAGCACTCTGTTCAGCAAGTTCAAAACTCATTGTTTGGAAGAAAGGTCCCAAGCAAAGAGTTTGTTGAGGGGCAGGAGTGAAAGAGAACAGAAGCTCATTAGAACATTATATAATTAGGCAGTATTATACAGTAGCTAGATACAATTTCTGGAGCTCAATTTACTGTTCAAATCATGGCTCTCACAATGACTAAGTAAGTAGTTGTGGTTTTGGGGGGGGTTATTTCTTTATTTCTTAACCTCACTGTGTGACAGTTTTTATAATACCAATTAACACACAAGCAGCTGTGAGGATTTAAATGATTATTATACTGCCTGACTTAATAATGAACATTCAATAAATGTAAGCTATTACTATCATTCTGGGAATCACTTAGCAAGGAAGCAGGAACTAGCTGTACATAGCCCATAATTTGTAGGTTTACTTTGTGCTAGGAATTGTACATATAAGACCTTATTTCATTCACGAGAAAGCTAAAGTTTAAGTTTAGTGATTTTCCCAAGATTATAAACTAATTTTGCCAGGCAGAATTTAAACTCCAATTGGATTCCAGAGACATGCTTCTATGAAAATTAAGAATCAGAGCCTGCAAGTTTTCATGTGTCTTGTTTATTACTTTTTAACTCCCCCGTTCAGAGTACATATCAGCAAATTCTTTAAAACTAAAAAGGTTTCTATGCGAGTGGAATATAAATTTAAGAGTCCTGAATTCAACAGAGGGTGAGGTGAGTCTTGGGAAATCAAGGATGCTCAACATAGGACCTGTGGCATAGGACCTGTGGAGGAGCAAGGGCAGCAGGCAGACCAGTCCTTAACATATGATTCTAAATGAGTGAGGAAAACCGACCTCTCAAATTTCAGTTCTGTTATTCAGTGCTTTTAAAATAGTGTTCACAGTAAACCACAAGATTAATTCTTAGATTCAGCAATTTTATACTTTTAAAAATTAGCACTTAAATTGAATGACTTTGAAGAATACAAAGGATTTGGCTATTTATAAAGTACTTCCTTACATGGAGTCCACTCTACGCTAATAAGGCTAGGGACCTTTGTTTTTATTGCAAAGATATTCCAATGAAATTGTCAAAATGTTGCAAATGGGCTTTCTTTGGTTTTGCCAACGTGTAAAAAAGTAACTTTACCAATTTTGATTGGAAACTTAGCTCGGGTAGGGGAGATTACTGTTGCACTAAGTTATTCCTATGATGTTCGAGGGGTTTGGAGATGGAGAACTCCGCCGGTCCCTTCTGTTATTTGAGGATCCCTCACCCAGTCACTTTCGCTGCACGTGCTGACTTGTGGGGACAGCCCAGCAATTCCGTCGCGAGGGCGGCTGAGTCACCCAGTCGCCCACGCGGCGTAGAAGGGCCTCCGGAGCTCCATCAAGACCCGGCCACCGAAGCTGGGCGCCGCCTCTCCGTTGCTCCCGACCTCAGCCACCAGGAAGGCGCCGCCAGTCCCCGCGTCTTGGGCCGGGCTCCACTTTCCCCTCCAGCGGAGGCCTCCGACGCCAGCCTTCTTCCTGCTCAGAGTGAGATGGGATCTGGCTCTGGCCACCCTCCCTCTGCAGCCTCAGAGAAAGGAAGCCACCAGCCCAACCCTGGCAGGTTCGCAATAGGACCACTCTGGCGCGCCCTCCTAAGCGCATGCGTCAGCCACCAGCCCGCGGGTCCCGGCTCCAGTGACGTGGCGATGCGGAGGCGGAGCCAAGGTCCGTAGCGGGAGGGTGGGGGAGGAAGAGCGAGGTGAGCGCGGACGTCAGAGTGGAGAGCGGAAGGTCAGGGAGGCTCGGAGCGGAAGTGAGACTAGGGAGTCTGTCCGCCATTGTGGACCCGAGAAGCGGAGAGCGAGAGGGGAAGAGGAGCGTGCAAGCGTAAAAGACGGGCCCCTTCCGCTGACTGCCGAGCGCGAGGCCCTCTTCGTGGTTTCTCAGCGAGCGGCTGCAGCTGCGGCGGCTGAAACAATCATTCGCCGAGGGCGACAACTAACTGCTGTGAGTGCACGGGGAGAGGCCCAGGCGGCGGCGGCGGCGGCGGCGGCTCCTCTCGGGTTGCGGTGAAGAATGTCAGCCACTAGTGTGGATCAGGTGAGGAGCAGAGGCCCCAGCCTCGGCGAAGGCCTGAGCCCCAGAGCTCCACCCTCGCGTGGGGCCCCGGCTCCTCCCCGTCGCCGCTGGCCCCATAACGGTGCCCGGGGCGCAAGTTGCTGCGGTCCTGCCTCTCAGGCCCGGGCATGCGACCTGGCCCCGGAGCCTGCGGCCCGGGCGGACGGGCGGGCGCGCTGCCGAGGGAGGTGGGGGAGGACCGCTCGCAGGGGCCTGAGGATGCAACCCGAGGGCGGCAGACGTGGGGCTGAGAGAGGCGAGCTCTGGGAGACGGATTCCGTGTGGCGGGTGGGAGGTTTAAGGCTGGGGGTGGTTGGGAAATTGGTGTCTGTGGAGGATACAGTGGGTTTGCTCCTACGCGGCATGTTTAAAATAACTTGTCTTTGATAATGTTTTTGATTAACACACTTTTCTTTCTTCCTTTTTCTTCTCTTTACCACACCTTTCATCTTGTTACACAGAGACCTAAAGGGCAAGGCAATAAAGGTGAGTTTGGATATTTTTTTTTCTCATTAATGCTATCTTGATGTTACTTTTAAACTGAGCCAGGGGGTTGTTTTTGTTTTCAGTATAGGATTAGAGAAGCATTCATCACAACTAAGGCATCCCAAACTTTGGTAGTTCTTTGCAGCCACTTTTGCAGAAACCAGAATACTACAAGAAACAGCTTTCTTAGTTGTATTTCAGTTAAAGCAGGTATTATTTTGAACATACTGGTATTTCTTTAGTTCCCCACTTTATTTGTGTTAATGTAACTTTTGCTACAAAAATTCCACCCATGCATAAAGTTAAGTATATTTTCAGAGTGGACATTTTGTTTGGTAAATCTGGATTATGTTAAATATGCAATTCACATGGTATTCTATGTCACATTAATGAAAATCGTACTGTTAATCACTCTGATTCTGTTTGAAGTCAATTGCAATGAGACAACAACCAGAGAGAACTTATAACTTAACAGGCATGTAATCTTGCTGTATAGTTGGGATTGCAAGGTGTGATTCAATCTTACTTTATAAAGGACTGAGAAGGAAATAATTTGTGAGGTTTCTGCTAGGATTATGAGATTTACTCTTTAGTTAATAGTACCATTGAAAGTAAAGTAAGTTTATTTTGTATTAATATGGAACAATGTAGTCAGCTGACTGAAACATTATGACATTAATCATGTGACTTTAGTAAGTATAGAACAATAACAGCTTTCTTGGTATAGTGCCAATTAAATAACATTATAGTGGATTATATATTTATAACATTTTGTAACAGGACTTAAAATTACACTAAATAGAATTATACTTCCTGTTTTTTTTTTTAGAAACAAAGTATTACTTAGGAAACAAGATCTATAATAGCCTTTTTAGATGTAAGTTCAATGTTTTTATTGTTGCTCTTTCAATTCTTGGGGTTTTTATTTGCTATGGTAACTCTGATTAATTTAAAAAGGAATGAGTTCTGTATACACAAGTTCGTTAATTTCCCTTATGTTGTAGTTTATGTAAGAATTTTTCCATACTAGTTGTATGGCATTTTTAGGTAACAAATTTATTACTTTATTTTAATTAAAGATTTTTTTTTAATATTTAGAAATTTTAATTTTTGAAATTTTTTAGAATTATTTTCAGTGTTATAAGAATAAACCTCAGATTTAGGTAGTGTTCATTTTAAATGATTTTTTACAAATATGTAAAAATTTTAAAAGGAATGATCCATTAATTTCTTTTCTTTGCTAGTCTGCCTATTAGGAGGTATATAGACTTGGAGATGTGAAATCTGTGGTCATTATTGCCTAGAGTAAATTATTTTATCCTAGATCTGTGGGGAGGTGGCACTTTGCAAGGCTATTTGAAATGCTAAGTGTTTTGTGTTACCTGCTTTAAGGTAAGTACACAAGTTCTATGAAGTACTTCACTTGTTTGCTAAAACAAAATAGATCTTAGAGCATTGTAAGATAGTACTGTGTTACTGTACGATTATTTATGACAAGATTATTTTACATAGGCATCGCCTGGTGACATCTTGATAAAAATGATCTATAAACTATATACTGGATAAATATTTTTTGGATGTTTAAAAAACTTAATCCATTAGTATTACTTAAAATTGTGTAATTAGACGCACATACAGACTGTTTATTTGGGTAGTTCCTTATTCCAGAAGATTTTCTTTTCATCTTTTTGATCAGTTCATAAATTTCACCAAAGAGTAGGGTGATGGACTGGTATTTCTTGAAGTCCTGAGTTCTGATTTGCAGCTGTTGACTTGCCAAGTGAGCTTGAATATATTATACCTTCTTGTCACAGTTTCCCTCTATAAAATAAAAATAATAGCTGTAACCATAAATTCTATTTTTATGAGGATTGTTATAATTACAATAGTTTATTGCTTTTAGTCGCTATTGCATTTGCTGGATTTCTTTTTACCTCCTAAAGAAGACTCCATTCTGGAGTCTTGACAGGAAGGGTAAAAAAGCTACTGGCCTAAAAGTACTGGTAATCATTTAAATTGCTTTAAAATGATAGATGTTACAAGTGCACAAGTAAAACACATATACTTTTTTTTTTTTTTTTGCCTTTTCTTACAAAACCAAGTCAGCACCACCAATTGAACTGATAAGAGTAGCTGTGTGTACTTGAGACTCTTCTGCTTTAGTTGACTTGATTTTCAAACTGTTGAAATTACTTTATAATAATTCTGTTTACTATTGTTAAGCTGAAAGTATAGCTATTTTCTCTGAACTATATCATTAATATTCTAAGAATCTGGGTAGTAATCTTGAATTCCATACTTATGAAAATTATATGCTCCTGAGAAGTTGGTGTCAGTTAAAGTTTGAAAGCATAATCCTTTTTAATTGACTTAATATAATTTCAGAGATGTTGTATTTCTTTTCTGATTTATTTACAGGTGATATTTCTTAGCCTAATAACCGGCTTTAGTGTTTTGATTTTCTACTAAGTGTTTTCCTGTATGTTCTTAATGACTTAATGTACTAAAGGATAAAATGCACGTCTATTATTAGTCCCTTTGTTAAGGCAATAATGCTTTTGAAGTATATTTAATAATTCTAAATTTGTTTATAAGTTTTGAATTCTTTGTTAATTAACAGATTGTCCCTGTGTGAAATGTCAAATCTCTTTATTATGCTTGGCCAAAGAAATACCAAAGGATAGTTGAAATTTAAGGATAATTACCTGCCTGTTGGTCCATAATTTAATACTGACTTTATTTTACTGAGTAGATTTTTTGCTTGCTAGAATAAAGATGTGCTCTGCCTTTACTTGGGAGCACTATGGATGGAAGTGTCAGATGCCATCTTAGGCCTTGCTGTTTCTTTTCTCCTGTTCCTTTAATATATAAATAAGCAAGTATATGGAAAATAACTTATTTTCTTCCTCCCCTTCCAAAGGAGAGACATGTACATCATTTCATACAACCTCAATTTAAAAGAATAGGTTGAATTTGGCTAAGTCTTAATGTTTTAGAAAAGTAGTGGAAAATGCCTTATATTTTGGCAATATGGTGTTGTATCCCCTCCCCGTTTTCCCCAGAAATGATTTCAGAGCATTTTAAAATCATTTTAGGCTTCATTTTAACATTAATCCTCACAACATTCCTATAAGGAGATAGAGGGTATATGGTATTGTCGCTGTTTTTATAGGTGGGAAAACATGATGCACACATCTGTTGACTTTCCTAACTTGATGTAGTCAGGACCAGAGCAAAGAATCACCTGGCTTCTAAGGCCCATGTTCTATCTTGATTTGACTCTGCTTCATAGAGCAGAGGAAACAGGCGAAGAATCATGTAAGTCATCTGTTCTTTTTTCCCCTGAAGAACTTTTACAGACTATGGAAGTGGTTTGGATTTCATTACTATTTAATGGCTTTCAGTCTCCCAAGACATTAGAGTGTCATTAAGTAATGTACAAATACTACAGTCTTTATAATAGACAGTTGAAGTTTTGAAAGAAAGATATGCTTACTTTCAAGGGTCAGTTTCCTATTTGTAGTCTAAAGCAAATTGCTTATCACTTTATGTAAATACTCCAAGTTAAATATCTTTCCTTTAGCTTGACTTACACTTTGTATAATTTTTAAGAACATTGTATACATGTTCAAATGATTTAAAAATAACTAAGATTGTATTTACTTTGTGTATGTGAAATCTATGTTCTCAGAATTAGAAGAATTAGAATAGAAGAAATGAAGAAAAACAGTATAATATATATTCAGATAAATTTTATGTACTTTTTTTACTTTGCTAGCAGTATGAACTAGATATCTGAGAATCTAATTGGTACAGAGGTAGGTGTAATTTCAAAATGATTAGCTGTTTTAAATATTTGCTACTCTGTACAAATGTAATACTCCAGTAGTGAGGATTTTTTATTTTCAAGAAGTAAAAGAACATGTATAGTAAAGCCAGTGGTAAAGAATAGGTATGTCAGAATCTTTTGGACTAAAATGATTAACCTGCCCTTAAAATGGCACTAGATAAAGCCTAAAGCTCCTCTTCTTTATTTTTGTTATTAGTGACTATTGTGTATTTAATTTTGTGGAGCATATTTAGCTTAACCTTAGCTAGTTCAGATGTAGTCCTTATCAAATAGTTACACAACCTCAGTGGAGTTAGAATTAAGTTGACCTACAGGTTTTTCTTTTGGCTTCTGAGGAGTAACAACAACATCATAAGAGTTCTTCTTAGAAGGCTTTACAGAGTAGGATTGTCTCTGAGTGGTCAGTGCTTCTCAAGCCACTCTTAACTCATAATATCTTAGGTGATGTGAACTCATGGCAAAATTAGAAATAATGAAAATGTTAATGATATTATAAAGGAACACACATTGTAATCCCAACACCCTCATATTCATTTGTAATGCTTTGTGACATCTTCAGATAAGAGTTTTTTGTTTTGTGTTTTTTCCCTTATAAGAAATTAACTGATAGCTCTCAAACTTTCAACTTTTGTCATGTTTCAATAGTGTATTTACACATTGTTATGACACCAAGTTTTCGCCTACTAACACTTCTGTTTTCATGGTTCTAAAGTCTAGTCCTTTTGGGATCTTGTAATATTTAATGTAATAATATTTAAGATTATTGAACACTGTCATTTAACACTGAAGTGAGATGAGGTGTAGGGACTAGGAATAACCTCCTGGAACAGGGTAGTCATCAATTACTTATAGAGGATAAGTTACTACTGGAGATCTTTTGTCTCCTGAGTGGAGGATTTGGAATTCAAATCTAGGACTTTGTTTTACATTCTGTGCTCAAATGCAGTCTGACACAGCATCCAGAGAATAACTTGAGTCTTATGGAAATGACTTCTGAAGAAATAATCTGTTATTCTCTGACTTGTTTTCTTAAGTGTTTGAAGATTTATCATGGTTAACTTTGGTATCTCAGTTGTATTTCTACTTCCATGTGAAAGTCTTCATATTTTTTATTTATTTTTGGTTCTGGGGATTAAACCCAGGACATAAGTGCATGCTTAGCACATGTTCTGCCACTAAGCTATATACCTCCAGTCAGTCTTCATATTTTTCTGGTTTAGAATGAAGGCTCTTTTTATTTAGGTTTTCAATTATGTTTATTCATTGTGATATTGTTTAAAGTAAACTTTAGCCACTTAAATAAAGATATTTAAGTCATTTTCTGGAACATTAAAAAAAAAGGTTGTATTGTTCTTTATTTACCTTTATTGAACTAATAGATTTTTAATAAAGGGAACATTCAGAAATCTCTGTTGTCTACAATACTGCTTGAAATAGTTACTTTAGATTCAAGAATAGTATTTGAGAACCCTTTCCAATATTTTTATATAACACCACACCACAGAATTGACGAAGATTTGGTAAGGAGAAGTGTGTGTGTGTGTGTGTGTGTGTGTGTGTGTGTGTGTGTGTTAAAAATAGGTATGGTTTGTATTCATAATAATCTTGGGCTTATTTATCACAAGATTTCTAAGATTTTTGTGGCACATAGATATTTGTGTCTAAAGCTTATCCTTAAGAGGGTTCTTAAATGAAAAGAACAAAGAACTCAACATTACTACTTCTGAGTTGGTTTGAAAAATATCTAAAATTTTAGGTGTGCTATGAGTTTCATAAAGATAATTGCAACACTTCTAATACAAGTATGTTTTTTAGTTTCAGTACAAAACGGTTCGATTCATCAAAAAGATGCTGTAAATGATGATGATTTTGAGCCATACTTAAGTAGCCAGACAAATCAGGTAAGTCTTTTGACAGAAGTAGTTTAGGAAGTTAAACATTTTAGTATTAACTGAATTTTTAACTAGATATTTTAACTGAAAAAGACTAACTGTAGCATGAATGAATTCATCTGAGGTGCCTGCATGAAATTAATAACAGTTGCAGGTTTTTGCACAGGAGAGTTTTCCTTTAGAGATTATAGGTAGCTGAAAGTAGGTAATGGAATACATATAAAATAAATATTTAAAGTTGAACCTTTCTTTTTACATATTAAAATTAGGGTTTTTTGAGTGTGGAAATGATTTTAATTTCTAATATCACTGCCATATCTATGTAATCAAAGCAAATAAGAAGACCTAGTTGCTAGAAATTTTTATGTGGAGGGAGTCTTAGTTGTATGTGATATTTTTGACTAAATGTAGGATTTTCTTTTTTATAATGCATTCCAATTTGAATTTCATTGATAATCACTGCAAGTTATAATATTACCTGGTAACATTAAGGGATAAGATTGAAGACTTTGTAAACACTTCTATATTGTGGATATGAAAATTCATTCAGATTATTAGATCATTAGTAACTGGTAGGGTTTTTGTGTGTGTGTGTGTGTTTTTTTGTGTGTGTTTGTGTGTGCGTGCGTGCTGGGGATTGAACCCAGAGCTTTGCACATGGTACGCATGTGCCCACCACTGATTCGCATGGGTTTGTATATAGAAATAACTTAAACATTGAAAAACAACAAAATAAAGGCATTTAATATCTTTGTACTATTTCCTTAAACCATTTCTATTATTAAAAATGTGTCACTGCTAGAAACAAATTTTAAAAATAAATTTTCTGTATCAATTTCATCAGGTCACCACAGTAAATCTACTTTTTTTTCCTTAAAAAAGATACGTGGAAATTGTACTCCAAAATTGTTAACCTAGAGTTTTAAAACTGTGAAAGAATTAGGAACCAGATATTATTGTGGAATTTAACAATTGTAGAGAAAATTTGAAAACAAATTCTACATTTGTAGAATGTAGAATTACTTTTAGAACTGGGAAGGATGTGGCTTGTTCAACCTGATTTACCTCTTGATCATTTCTGCTTGGAGTGAATCAGAAAAGGCGAAAGAATAAAAACTGGGAGTAAAAAATTAATTTCAGATTTATGTGATCTAACTATGATCTCAATACCAACTTTTCTACCTAAGGGATTATGAAGGAACATATCGCTGCAAAGTTGGAGAAGATCATGATTGTGAGATGTATTATAAGTTTTAAATACATTTTTGTTGTAGTTTGACTCATGTATTACTCTCAGTTAACATCCATCATGGCACTGTTTCCAACCTTTTTGAGGAATTCTAATGTTACACAAGGTATAAGTACATGTTCTAAAAAGATGTCTATCATCAGATAAACTTAGGAAATTTATTGGGCTAAACAATTAAACTTTTTTTTGCTATTTGATTTCATAGTTATAAAGTATAAAATGAAGATATAGTATGAAACTCCTTTTACTTGTTCATACTTTTTTTCCCCTCGCGCCCCCCCCCCCTTTTTCTTGGTGCTGGGTATTGAGCTCAAGGCCTCTCATATGATAGGCAAGTGCTCTACCACTGAGCTGCATTCTCAGTCCTTTTTTAGAAATTTTACTTTAAGACAGGTGTTGCTAAATTTGCCAAGGCTGGCTTCAAATTTGCAATGCTTCTTTCTCAGCTTTTCGAGTAGTGGGAATTGTAGGTATGCACTACCTTGCCTGGCTCAAATTTTGTTTTTAAGGAAATTTAGTGAACTGTATAAGTTTGGGAATTATTACCTGAAAAAAATCATTATTTTATTTTAATTGATTATGTACTTTAAAATTATTCATTATTTGTCACAATGACTTAGAACAGCTTTTGTTGCAGGAAGTTTTTGTCACAGGGTGTTTTGGTGTTCTGCAGAGGCACTTCAGGGTGCCTAAGGGATGCCAGGCTAGGTTTCCTGCCTGGCAACCGGATCTTTACTTTGGGGCACTTTATCTATTTTACAAAATTTGTAAAAGATGTTTGGAAAAAAGTGTTAGAAAGTCATTATTTTAAAAAATTTGTGCTGGGGATTGAAACTAGGGCCTTGTACATGCCAAGCAGAAGCCCTACAACTGAGCAATAATGATTCTTCCCACCGAAACTTTTTTAAAGACATTTGTGTTAGTAAAGTTAAATGAATTCTTCATCTGCATTTTTGCTTCTCATGTTGGGTCAAAAATGTTTATAAAATATTTATTTTAATGCAATATATAAATGGAAAGATTAAATTTTTATGTTTATTATTTCAACTTTCAATACTGGAATCAACATGTTTATGTCCTATTTGAAGGGAAATTTTAAAGTTTGATTCCACTGAGGCTGTGTGTTGCCTCTCCTTGGTAGTGCTGAACAGGTTTTCAGCAGTTGTCTTTCCATGGTACTATAAATAATTATTTCTAATAAGGCACATATTTACATTTTAAAGATTGCTAACTATAGAATGTTGGAAACTGATTTCTTAAGAAAAAAATTGAAAATTATCAGAAATATTAAAGGTAAGTTACACAAGAACTTATTGTTACATAGCTAAAATGTATAAATTAAGAAATGTAACTTTTATTTATTTATTTATTTATTTTTTAAAGAGAGAGAGAGGAGAGAGAGAGAGAGAGAGAATTTTTAATATTTATTTTTAGTTCTTGGCGGACACAACATCTTTGTTGGTATGTGGTGCTGAGGATTGAACCCGTGCTGCACGCATGCCAGGAGAGCGCGCTACCGCTTGAGCCACATCCCCAGCCCCAAGAAATGTAACTTTTAAAGAATATTTTCAGAGAATACTGAAAACTGGATTTACTTATTAAATATCTGAAGTAATTATTGGTGTACTTTAAAGTTAAAAAGTATTTAATAAGATTCTTATTTACCAACCTAACTGAAATAATTGTTTGAAATATTAAGATTAAATTCCCTTCATCTAATTTTAAAATTATAAATAATGAAATTAATCTTGGTGGAAAGGTGTTTAAGATTTGGGGCTCATGGTTTAAATTGTTTATATTTAGATCTAATTCATATCAAACCTAGGGATGGGTTAGAATAAGTTGTTGGCCTTTGTATTCCTGTGGCAGTGTATTTCTGTTTTATAGTCTTATTGTTCTCTTTGGTTTTTTGTTGTGCTGAAGGTTGAACTCAGGGCCTCAAGCATGCTAGGCAAGCCCTATACCTCCAGCCACCATAGTGTTTAGTAGTATTTAATTTCTTAGGGAATATTTGATGATTTTATAAATTAAAAAGTAAATATCTTTCAGATCTTAAAATTAATTCTCTACAGTTCTTTAGAAAAAATGATGATTAAGTTGATTTGAAAATTTATATTTCAGTGCTCATTGTTAAAGATACCATATAATTTGTGCAATTTGTGCATACAAACTTGTCAAATAAATTAGAAGACTGAAGTTTGGGGAAATAATCCAAACTGTGTTTATCAGAGAAGTGTCAAGAATTTTTAAAATATAGTATTTGAATTTTATTTTCTGTTTTGCCATTACTGATCTTTGTTAAGATTTTTCTTATCTGCATTGCAGAATGATTTCTTTATTGGTAGTTTTTCTTAATCCATATGTCCACATGGGGGATATCTATAAAAGCTTGAATTTGGCAAAAAGTATGCCATGGGTAATTTTGAAATAAATATTAATGTTTTTAGAGTTATACTCTTTTGAGAAAGGCAATAGGTGAAGGATTAGTGATAATATTATTAGTGATATAGTTAGTATTAACAGTGAAGGTTAATTTTATATGATTAGCTCTAGATTGCTTTCCAACCTCTCTTAATGCACTGGTTTAAATTTTATTGAAATATTTGCAGAATTGAAAATGAGGGACTTACTGGGCTAAAATCCAAGTCTGATTGTGGTATACTGTCAATAAGAAATTACTACAAAATGTCTGTAATCACATTCAGAAGAGGCCGAAGCAGGAATATCAGAAGTTGGAGATTAGTCATTGCAATTTAGTGAGACCCTGTCTTAAAATGAAAAAATGGTTAGGGATGTAGCAAATTTGGTAGAGTGCTTGCTTAACATGTGTCCTGAATTCCACTTCAATACTGCAATAAAAATCAAAATTTCTATACCTTTTACAACAGTGGATGCATCTGTTATATAAGTGCCTTTAAAATGACTCCAGGTTTTTTTTTTTTTTTTTAATCCTATACAGCTTTTGTCAACTTTCTCTGTCTTAAGTTGAGGAGATAGTTCTTATTATTATTTCTGAAATATATAAATGTTTTCTGAATATTTCTTTTATCATCTTAATTTTTGTATAAAATTTTCTTCGTGTAATTTTTTCTGATTTTCCAGCTTCTTGCTTTCTCCTGTTTGTATTATAGTAGTTTCTTTTGCTACCTTTATGCTTCAGTTATAGTCCTATCACATTGTAAGGTAAATGTCTTCCCCACTATACCTCTGAAGTGCTCTGGGTTGGAGACTGTATTCTTCATGTTTTTATTCCCAGTGATGGGCATGATATCTGGCACAAAGTAGGTATTCATTAAGTATTTATTAAATGAAGGAATAGATTAGGTTATCTAATAGAGTTAGAGAAAGAAGAATTATGGCTGATGAAAAATTCAGATTTTATTATATAACACATTTTTTTCTTATGACATCCTTATGATTAGATATGCATTAATTACACTTTTGAAAAGTGCAGTAGCAGAAGAAAATGCACACAAGCATTAAAAATATGCTGAATGTACCTTAACTTTTTGTTGTTACTTTAGAAGTCAGGAGTTGGTTTTTTTGTTTTGTTTTGTTTTTGTTTTTTAAACAATGTGTGTGTGTTAGGGAGGTCACAGATTTCTGTTCCTCTCTTCTCAGCTTCCCTAGTGTCTAGATTACCCAGCTCTGCTTAGTTTTTTAATGCCAGATATTTTTCAGTTTTCTCTGTGCATAGGAGCTATTTCTGGTTAATAATACCTTAACCATTTTTATTGAACTTTTAAGATACACAGTGTTTCTAGGATGTTTGAATAATCATGAAGTAAAAAAGGATATTAAGTTATAATTGAAAGACTCATTTTTAATTAAGATAAAATTGAGTTGGAATGTACCATAGTATATTAGTTACATTTACCACACTGCATAATAGAACTTTAAAAAACCAATATATTTTTCCTGAGTTTTATAACTTTTGACACCATCTCCCCCACTGTCCTCGTCTCTACCATTCTACTCTCTGCTTCTATAATTTAGTTGTTTTAAATTGTACATATAAGTAAGAATATGTGCTATTTGTCTTCCTATGCCTGAATTATTTCATTTAGCTCTTATGGTTCTCAAAATCCATTTGTATTTTTGCAAATTTGTTTTTTAAAAAATTCTGAGTATTGTGTGTATATACCACGTTTTCTTTATCCATTCAACCATTGATGAACACTTACATTGATTGTCTTGGCTTTATGAGTAGTATTGCAGTAAACATGGGAGTGCAGACATCTCTTCAGCATATTGATTTAAAATCAGATTGCAGAATCTCTGTATTTTCTTTAATGAGATGAGAAAACAGTTCAGAGCCTAAGTAACTTGGCTCCTTTCATATAGGTGCTAAGTATCTGGACTGGGAATAAAACCTAGATACTTCACAGGCCTCTCTTGAACCTGCTAATCAGATAGCTTTTCTAGATTGTACTTCATTTTTATAGAGTTTTTAGATAGAGGAGTTTATGGATCTGTTCTCATAGTATGTTTATTCATACCCAGTGATTATTGTGCCTTTTTATTTTTTATTTTTATTTTTTTAATTTTGATATAGGAGTCTTATTCTGTTGCCAAGGCTGGCTTCTAACTTTTAGACTCAAGGGAGATTACTTCCTTAGCCTCCTCAGCCTCCTCAGTGCTAAGTATATAAGCATGTACCAACATCTTCTGCTTATTATTATCATTTTCATATTAACATGTTACTGTTGTTTTCCCCTTCTAATTAGTTCTTTGCATATAGGGGTCATACAAAGCATTTCACATCACTATGTTTAAAGGTAGTATTTCTTTAAAGAAGAAAAAAATAAGATTTTGCTATTACTGAAAAATTTCCGTATCATGAATAGACTAGTTTAAGCAGACTGTATATAAATCCCTAAATTGATTACATATATCATTACAATTAACTTTGAGATAAAAAAATGGAACTAAGTTATAAATTGTTTTACATCATCAGGGAGTATAGATTTTGTTCCTCTTTACTACTGAGATAATTGAAATTAACCCAAAATTCCACTTAGCTGGCAATTTAAAATGTGCCTTAAATTTATCAAAACATTAATTTATAATAAGTTATGATTGAAGCTCTACTGAAATTTTTGTTCTCTTTTTTAAAATTTTGGGGTACTGGGATTGAACCCTGGGTCTTATGCCTGCAAGTGCTGTTACTACTGAGCTATATCACCAGCCACTGTAACTGTCTTAGTTGTTCTTAGAACCAAAACCAGAGCCTTGAGATTGCTTGAATTACTGTCATAGATCTAGAGAAAAAAAAAAAAAAACTCATTCAGCAAAAACTCTTGAAAGAATTGAAGAACAAATGGATTAACAGGAGAAAAGTGACCATTTATACAGTACATTTGAGGACTCTAGGTGTAGTGTAACACTTAGAACCCTTGGTTAAACTTTTTGTTTTTTTTTAATCACAATGATTTCCCTATCAGTATTAGTACCTTTATTTTTAGCAGACATTTTAGTAATCAGATTACAAATACATCTGTGTGTCTGTAAGTGTGTGTGTATTGTTGTTATGGTTTCTGAATTGTTACTCTTTAAATTCTTCAATATTTTATTCTTTAAAAACCATTGTTGGTGTATTAGAGTTTCCCTCAGGCTTCACTTTGTAGGTGTGTTAAATGTGGCAGTTAGGATTTTTTCACTGATATGGACAGAGCTTTAGAATTTGTGTAATTATGTGGTGGTGGTTCCAAAAATGCTCTTAATCTATCTCATACTAATATTTTTCGTGTTCTTTGAGTATATTTTCAGTTATAGGTAATAATTACCCACTCAGTAAAGCTAAAAATTATTCAACTAGATTAGTAAATTATAACATGAGTTATTACAGTTTTGAATACGGTAAAATATATTTAATATGTGGTATATTTGGAAAATTGCATTGTAATTTTTGTTTTTCTTTAAATAGTTATAAGGGACACATTTGGGTTTAGGTCCAAGTTTTACTGGCAATACCCAGTAAATCTTTCAGAATTGTGCTTTTCTTTTTCCCTTTTTTGGTGCTGGGGATGGAACTCGGGAACTTGCACTTTCTAGACAAGTGCTCTACCACTGAGCTACATCTCCAGTCCTTATCAGTATTATTAATTTAAATAGAATACGTTTAGATCTAAAGTTAAAATTCAGTTATAACAGAGAATCATTTCAAAAGATAGCGTATTAGCATTCTCATAGACAGTGGATAATTGGAACAGTTGTGAGGTGTGTCATAGTAACTTATTAGTAATATAATAGCGACTGGGAATGTAACTCAGTGAGAGGGTGGCCCTGGATTCAATCCCAAGCACTAAACAAGCTAACAAACAAAAATCCAAAAGTAGTAATAATAAAATATCTCAGTTTTTAATGATAAGTTGTTTTAGTCAGCTTTTTCACTGTTATGACCAAAAGATATGACAAACAGTATAGAGTAGGAAAAGTTTACTTGGTGCTTATGGTTTCAGAAGTACTCACTTGCTCTGGGCCGGAAGTGAGGCAGAGGATCAGTCAGAAGGGCATGATGGAGAAAATCAGCTCAGAACATGACAATTAGAAAGCAGAGAGCAGTCCTCACCAGAGATAAATTTATACCTCAAAGGCATGCTCCCAGTGACTTATCTCTTCTTGCCTTACCTAGCCTACAGTTATCACCCAGTTAATTCCTATTAGGAGATTAACACACTGATTAGGTTAAGGCCATCATAGACCAATCATTTCAATTCTGAATGTTCTAGTATTATCATATACGAAATTTTGAGCTACACCTCATATCTAAATCATAGCATAAGCCTTTAAAAAATAACTTAATAGTTCCAAGTAGTAGCTATGATATTATTCTCATGCATTACTATTGATAGTAGTAATTACTTATATTAGGGCTTTGTGCATACACTAGTCAAGTGTTGTACCAATGAGCTATACCTCTATACCTGAGCTCTTTTTAATATTTGCTTTAGTGGAAAAGAAGCCACATAATAGCCCAAGAATGTAAAAGAGAAAAAGGAGGATGAATTTAAGAACTTTATCCCAGGGACTTTATAGTGTTTATATAAATTAAGTGAATCATCAGACTTAATGATATTGACCCTTGTGAGGAAACATCAATTGCTCTGAATATTAGCTAATTTTTTCAAACCTTTCATAATTACACAAATTCTAAAGCTCTGTCCAAGGCTTTAAAATAATAAAACTTAAAGCAGATTAAAAAATTAATCAGACATTTTATTTATTTTTTTTGACATAACCCATTTTCAAGGGAAATCCTTAAGCTATTTTAATTTTCACATGAGCTTATATTTGTGGTTTTTTTTTATTAATAAAATTTGGTGTCTTGATTTTTGGCAAATTAGTAAATGCATGATTACTTAATATTCAAAAGAGAGGTTGATTTATTTACTTGAAATAGTTTTGGAAACAATTATGTGAACTTACTCTGAAGTTCTGACCAAAAAATTTGTATTTTCATTCTGTAAAGTGTGGAAAACACAGAGCATTAAAAAAGAAAGGTATCCATTGCCTCACCCTAAAGAAGCCAAGATAAGGATTTCATTTCTTTCCAAAATGAACATGACAAAACGAAACAAAGTTGGATCATGCCATAGGCATAATCCTGAATCTTCTTTTTTCAGAATGTGATCATTTCTCGTATTATTTTTTCTTAAGTACAAAATTTAATGGCTGAACTGGATTCTGTCAATGATAAATTGTAATTCTATTTAAAATAGTTTCCAGGTTTATTGAATCCTTATATGTAACTCTTTGAACACATCAATAACTTAAAATATAGCTGAGTATAAATGTTAAATCTTGTGTCTGCTAAGTTTTATGAATTAGCTTTTTGTAGAAATTGTAATATTTTAAAATTGTGACAGAAGATCTGACTCTTCAAACAAAAATAATCCCAATCCTACTCTTAATCCTCCTATGAAACTCCTAAGTTATTTTATAATATTTAAAAATATGAGTACTCATGTAAACTTTTCTGAGATTGGATTTGAAACTTTAATTATGCTTATCTAGAAATTTTCATTTTGTTTATCCAGTGCATCTCTTTTTCATTTATTTAAAACTGTTTGATTTTAACTTTTAGATACCTTTTTTCCCTCCTGTAAAGAGGACATTTCACTACTGATTGTGGTCTTCTGTTTTGCAGAGTAACAGCTATCCACCAATGTCAGATCCATATATGCCTAGTTACTATGCTCCATCCATTGGATTTCCATATTCTCTTGGGGAAGCAGCATGGTCCACGGCTGGAGACCAGCCTATGCCATATCTGACAACCTATGGACAAATGAGTAATGGAGAACATCATTATATACCAGATGGTGTTTTTAGTCAGCCTGGAGCATTAGGAAATACCCCTCCATTTCTTGGTCAACATGGATTTAACTTTTTTCCTGGTAATGCTGATTTCTCTACATGGGGGACAAGTGGATCTCAGGGACAATCAACACAAAGTTCTGCTTATAGCAGCAGTTATGGCTATCCACCTAGTTCTCTTGGGAGAGCTATTACTGATGGACAGGCTGGATTTGGCAATGATACTTTGAGTAAGGTGCCTGGCATTAGCAGTATTGAGCAAGGCATGACTGGACTGAAAATTGGTGGTGACCTGACAGCTGCAGTGACAAAAACTGTAGGTACAGCCTTGAGCAGCAGTGGTATGACTAGCATTGCAACCAATAGTGTACCCCCAGTTAGTAGTGCAGCACCTAAACCAACCTCCTGGGCTGCCATTGCTAGGAAGCCTGCCAAACCTCAACCGAAACTTAAACCCAAGGGCAATGTGGGCATTGGGGGTTCTGCTGTACCACCACCACCTATAAAACACAACATGAATATTGGAACTTGGGATGAAAAGGGGTCAGTGGTAAAGGCTCCACCAACCCAACCAGTTCTGCCTCCTCAAACTATAATCCAGCAGCCTCAGCCATTAATTCAACCGCCACCATTGGTGCAAAGCCAACTGCCTCAGCAGCAGCCTCAGCCACCACAACCACAGCAGCAACAAGGACCTCAGCCGCAGGCCCAGCCACACCAAGTGCAGCCTCAGCCACCGCAGCTGCAAAATCGCTGGGTAGCTCCTCGGAACAGGGGAGCGGGCTTCAGCCAGAACAATGGAGTGGGCAGTGAAAACTTTGGTTTAGGTGTTGTACCTGTCAGCGCTTCACCTTCTAGCATAGAAGTGCATCCAGTACTGGAAAAGCTAAAGGCCATAAACAACTATAATCCCAAAGACTTTGATTGGAACCTGAAGAATGGACGTGTGTTTATAATTAAAAGCTACTCTGAGGATGACATACATCGTTCTATTAAGTATTCTATCTGGTGTAGTACTGAGCATGGTAATAAGCGTTTGGATGCAGCCTACCGTTCCCTGAATGGGAAAGGCCCACTCTATTTACTCTTTAGTGTGAATGGAAGTGGACATTTTTGTGGAGTGGCTGAGATGAAGTCTGTTGTGGACTATAATGCATATGCTGGTGTCTGGTCTCAGGATAAATGGAAGGGCAAATTTGAAGTTAAATGGATCTTTGTGAAAGATGTTCCCAATAATCAGTTATGGCACATTCGCTTAGAAAACAATGACAACAAACCAGTAACCAATTCAAGGGACACTCAAGAGGTACCCCTAGAAAAGGCTAAGCAAGTGCTTAAAATAATTGCTACTTTCAAGCATACCACCTCAATCTTTGATGACTTTGCACATTATGAAAAGCGTCAAGAAGAGGAGGAAGCCATGCGTAGGGTAAGAATATAGTAATTTTGATGTGGGTCTTTCTCTTGGGGATGGAGTACATGGATGGGTACCTTTTAATGACTCTGTTTTCTCCCTCCACAGTACTAGGGATTGAACTCAGGGATTCTCTACTACTGAGTTACATCCTCAGCCCTTTTTCATTTTTGAAGTAGGGTCTCTAAGTTGCTTGGACTGGCTTCAAACTTGATATCCTTCTGCCTCAGCCTCCTGAGTAGCTGAGATTACAGATATGCACCACTGTACCTGGCTGAGAAAATGGATTTTTAAAAAACAACACCAAAGTATTTTTGTAGTTTGTATAGTTGAAGCTGTTGTAACAAAATATGGTGACAATTTGGCTTTGGGAGGCAGATTAGATTTGGGAGGATGTGGGCTTCAGAATTAGACTCCATAGCATTTGATTTCTTTTGTTATTCATCTGTGAGACTCAGGAAAACTTCCATTGGAAGACTTTCAATTGGACATACTGTTGTTTATGTTTGCAACATACTGGTGGGCAGGCTTGGATTGTTTTCTGTCCTGAACTACAGAATAAAATTGGGGTCCTAGTTTTAGGTGGAAAAAGAATGGAGGCAACTAGGAGATTTTTCTGTAGATAGTACATTTAAATTTCTTCTAGAGAGAAGCGGGGTTAAAGTTTGCTCTTCCAGTAAATAGTTTTTACTGCTGTGGAAAAATCTCTTATGGAAACTAAGATAAAACAGAAACTTCCTTTAACTATCTGTATGTAAAAGTGTTAGTGATTCAGTTCTTTGTGAATTTGTCTTGTGATTTCTTGGTTGTGTGCAGCAGAGGGACTGCTTCAAATTTTAAACCCAGATGATTTTTTTTAACCCTTGGCGATTCTAGTTGCAGTGATTTCTGTGCTGAATTGCCAGAAACTTTTGGAGTGATGCAAATTATTATTTAATGCTTTGTGGGACTGTTTCCACAAAGGTTAAGATTGCTGAATATAATTTTCTCCTAGTTAAATGTGGAAAATGAGGAAAATTGGATCCAGTTGCTAGTGAGGTTTTGAGTTTAGTGTTTAAGTAAATTGTCATCTTGTAACTGCCATTACAAAATAGCATATCAGGAGAAATGATCTGGAATGTGAAAGGTGAGATGCAGATACAGATTTTATTTTGGGATGTACTTATTTTAAGACACATTTGAGAAATATAGGTAGAGAAATTTTTTTGACAAGCATTTAGAGAGATGTGTTATTTTTGTTTTTGTTTTTGTTTTGGTTTTGGTTTGTAAACAGTTGATTCCATGAAAATAGGATGAGATTATTTAGGAGAAAATTTGCATGATAAAGAAATATTTATTAGCTTTATTTTCTTCTACCATTAAGGTAGCCTTGTATGTGTTCATACTTTTCATTTTTACCCAGTCTGAAAATTTAGTCCTAGTTTTACTATTTTCAGTATTTTAATAGATACTTGTCTCTGGGATGTATATATTTTTTCATACTAAAAATTGATCCCAGAGATGATCCCTACCCCTTTTAAAATTTTATTACAAGGCAGAATTCTCACTAAGTTTTCAAGGCTGGCCTCTAATCCCCTGCTTCAACCTCCCAAGTAGCTGGAATTACAGACTGGTACAACTGTGCCTGCCCCATAAATATTTTTTATGACATGTATTATAGTCATGTTATTGTATAAATTACACAAATATACACAATAGTGAATTAAACTTTTAATTTTTATATTTCTATTATTCCATTGCTGCCATTCTATGACATCTAACTCATAATTGGCATCTTTATTTCAAAGCTTATTAAACTTGATTTTTATTAATTATAGAAGGCTGACACAGGAGGATTATAAATTCAAGAGTAGCATGGGCAATTTAGGTGAGACCTTGTCTCAAAATGAGTAAAAAGATTGGGGATATAGCTAAGTGGTAAAGTGGCCCTTGGTTCTATCCCCAGTACCTCAACAACAACAAGGTCTTTGGCATTATATGTAAACAACAGTTTAGCTGGATATAGAGTTTTTGGGTCAGTTTTTTTCATTCAATATAGTAGAGGCTTTGCTTCATTGTTTTACATTCTATGGATTTATCACCTTTGGATTGTTTCCAGTTTGGGGGGAATATAAATAAAGCTCCCATAAGTATTTTTTTTTTTACATAGATTTAAAGCTTTTTTTTTTCTTTTTTTAAATCATTCAATAAAGTTAAGTTCTTTCGAATCTACAGCTTTCAGTTTTTTACATGTAGATGGATAGAAGCATCATCACATTTTGGATACAGAACAGTTCCATCTTCTATGAAAACCTCATTTGTACTATCTTTTTTTTACTTAAATCCCTGCCCTATGTCTAACCCCTGGCACCCACTGATCTTGACTCACAAGTTTGTTAGTAGTTTTTCATTTTTGTCAGGATCAGAAAACCCTTCATTACTCTTTGGGCTCTTTTCCTATTAGTTACTGGATCAGAAGGAGGATCATCAAGATCAAAGTAGGTACTTTTACATTTTTTTTCTTTAGTTCTTGGTGCCAGTTTCATATGCCTCTGCCACTGTACATGTGGGAATGGGATAGTCATGCTGTAAATTGATTTTACTATCACTCTGTGGTTAAAAAGGAAAATCTGTACAATGGCTACACTAAGTAATTGACTTTCCTGTATGTTTGAAGCTACTATATTAGGAGTCAGTTTTCCATGATTTTTAACTCATGAGCAAATGAATTATGTCTTTGCCCAGTTTTTTTCCTTTTGTTGTTAGCTCTTGTCTAGGCAGAGTTGTAATTTTCTTTTTTGACATGCTTATATTTGTATTTGGGGTTTCCATCATAAATGCTTTCAAATGTTTTTGGCATACCAGTGATTTTTGTGCTCCCTGTCTATTCTAGGTCCTCCTTGGCTCTATCACAAAGGACAAATCAGTTGTGTTTTGCTAAAATTTCTTTTTTCCCCCAACTAAAAGTAGTTGCAAATTATTATTAGTGTCTCTTTAATAAGATCTCATCTGTTTTGTTTTAAATTCTAATTTCTCAAGGCTTGTGATAAGTAGAGGCCACATTTTCCCAGATGCATATCTTCTAGACTTTGGGTAAAGTCAGATTCTTAAAGAAGATACAGACTGCATTACTTATAAAAGAGATGATTGATACATTTGATTAGTTAAAAACAATTCCTCAAAAGATGCTTTAAAGGAAGCTTTAAAAATCCATCTTTTTTGAAAGTACCAGAAGAAATTTGAATATAAGTGCCTGAAAATTAATACTAAGAATATATAAAGATAAAAAAGACAACTCAGTAGAAAAAATGTGCAAAAGGTACGGATACGCATTTAGTGAAAGAGGAAAACAGACAAGACTAATGCATGTAAACCAATATTCAGTCTTATTGAAAGTTAGAGAAAACAATCTCATTACAACCCCTTAGGCAGCACTATATCCTACTTACCAATTCCAACCAATCTTCTCTCATATCCCCAAACTTTTCTCCACTTCATGTTACAATCAATACCCTTCATGTTACAATGACCAATGTAGGTTCAATGTAAACAATGTCTACTTTCTTCCCCCCAATTTTCCTAATAAAAATACTGTTCACTCTTAAGTGCAGAGGATATTTTTCTGACTGCTATCTATTTTTGCTTCAGGAAGCTTAAACCAAGACCTGTTCCCTTTTGATGGTATCCATAGTGACTCAGTAAAACAATTTTATTTCACGAGGGGAAAATGCACTGTTGCCATTTTGCCTCATCCCAACCTACATATTTTAATAACTCAGAATAGTCAAAGCCAGAAGCCTTGTCCACTTAGGAAGTTGCTGCAACAGGAAGTAAAAATGAAATTAGGAAAATCCAATTCATGATTAGAATGAGAAAATATTTTATATCCACTCATTTTGCAAAATTTAAGTGTGACAGTATTTTGAGTATTGGAAAGATTGTAAATAAACAAGGCCTTACACAATTGCAGATGTGAAGCAGTTTTGTATTTTTTAACAAGTTGAATATTCATGCCTTATAATTCAGCTGTTCTCTTCTCTAATACATATGTAAAGAACCTTTCTAGATACCCCAGAAAATATCTATAAGAATGGCAGAATTAATAATTGCAAAAAACTGGAAACAATTCAAATATCCATCTGTTGGAAAATAACCAGAGACATTGGTGCTACAGCAATATAGTATGGGTGAATTTTTTTCTTCATTCTTCTATTTGGAAATAACTTTATCTGGGGAATAATTTATGGAATACTCATCTTTTAATCATATTTACCTGTTATTGTCATTCTTTCATGTTTGCTTTGTTCTTTTTCAACCATCTGAGTGCCATGTACAGGGCTTTTTTCTCCAAAACAACAACAACGAAAAACAAAAACAAAAAACCAGAATTATAGTATGTATTTCCTAAGAATAAGGTTATTATTTAACTATAATATTCTGTCATTTGATCCAGAGTCCTTTCTTTCCTCTAGTAGAGGATCCAGTCTATGATCAGAAAATACTGATCATAGCATAGTCAAAACCGTTTGAAATAATAATAAGTTTAGAAGACTGATTCCAATCTGTCTTCAAATTTTTTTGCCTTTCCCAAGTTTGGGAGGATTTTGTCATGTGCTTTTATAAAAGTCTTATGGTTCTAATATTTACATTTAGATTTGTGGTTGCTAGAGCTCCTTTTCTAATTTAATATTTTTCTTTAAATTTTTGAGGCCCTTTATGATAATAAGGAATTCTGTTTTCTCTTTTCATTGCTGGATTGCTTATTGATTATTTTTTTTTCTTGATTATTTTGGCAGTAGAAGCCTCCAACTAGCTTTTCTAGCCAACATGCCTCCTGTGGAGGAGACAACCTGACGTCTTATCTGCCTATATGAAAGTTAGTATGTCAGACCCTCTTTCAGAATGAGGAATGCTGGTGAGATTCTAAACTGCAGAAGAAACAATTGCCAATTAGTTACGAGGGAGGAAGGAGCTGTATAAAGAGAAAAATCTTAAAAGTTTCCTAGGCAAAAGACACAGTTTACAAAGAAAGGAAA